TGTAGCTATAGGAAGCTCAGAATTTCAAGTTGAAGAATGTTAAGCCGAAATTTAAGCCGATCGGCTTAAAATCGGCTAAATTGAAATTCTGAGCTCACTATAGCTACATGCTGACAAAATATTACACAGAATCATAGTAAAGCATGTAAAGTTCAATTTAAATACTTGAAATGGGTGTCAAATGGCTTTTTTCTATCAAAAAAATCAAAAATTGAGTTAAGCCGAAAAAATTGGCTTCGATCTCTGGTTTTTACCATAAAAATTTTCGTAAAAATGAACATTCGTAAATTTGAAAATTGTTTTTCGTTATTTTGCTTTTCGGGAAAATACAAAACACTCCTGTTTTAGATAAAGCTTCCAAAGATGCTGAACAAATGTGATTTGTCAGGAACTTCAATTACTCAAAGGTTCCTTAGTTTACTTAAAAAAAAATTAAAACATTATAATAATTTTAAATAAATTTAAAAGTATGTCAATTTCTATAAAATATTAAAAAAAAAGACTGTTAATTATTTTTTTTTTGATTAAAATTTTCACGACTTTGGCGTGAAATTTCACACCACTGGCGTGAAATTGGCGTGAAATGACGTGAAATTTCACACCATTGGCGTGAAATGGTGTGAAATTTCACGTCATTTTTGTGAAATTTTTGGCGTACACGTTTCACACCAAGTTATTTTCCCCCTGTTTTCGAATTACAAACTCAGGTGGATTTTTAAATCTAAAGTTCCTAATGATTATTGAAGATATTAAAAAACGGTTTTCAGTTCCTAATAGTAGTATATGAGAGCTTTATTTTGATATTCCACAGAGATTTTAACTTTGTAGTTTTGGTACCGCTATTGTAGGATATGTAAGAAAAACAGTGGAAAAATATCTTCAAACGTACCGCAAGTATCTTAGATCGCCGAATAGTAGGAGGTAGAACCACACCAGCATGTAGCCCTTGACTTATAGTTTTCAGAACTGTATAAACTTTGTCCAATATATCTGGCCAATAAAAAGTTATAGCGATTTTAGTGAGTCGTTGAATATTTAGCCAAAAACTCAAATGTTTTATAAAAAATACAAATCAATAAAAGCAAATTCGTTTTTTCATGTTTTCTACTCATAAATATTGTTAAAAAACAAACAGTAAAGAAATTTTTTCAAAAAGTTCAAAATTTGATGAGATATTGGGTACATTTGATATCTGACGACTTGTACGCTTTTCTCATCACTCAAACTACCACAACTTTTGTTTACCTAAATATTTTTCAGTTCTGTTTTCGGTTTATTATAGCTTAAGTCAATACCTTTTTAATGATGTATAATACTTGATGGTTGATTTTGATCTTGGTCATGAATATGAGCCTTGTTTGTAAGCGACCCTAAAATAGAAAAATCTCAAAAACGTCATTTCTAGAAATACCACTTAGAAACAAATTTAAGTATTGGTTTGTGGTTTTTCATGATGATTTTCGATAGTTATGACTATTAAAACTCAAAAATTTGCATTTCACAAAGTTTTTGCTATCTCAGGTAGCTTCTAAGGTACGACCCTAGTAGACAATATTGGGTCTGAAAATCTCAAATTTTTGATTATTTTTCAGAGTTTTTTTGATTGATATTTCATAATCGAACATATTTGAGTCAAAATACATTATTTTTAAATAGTTTTGATGGGTAAATTCTTGATTTTGGCTATTTTGTTAAAGTTCAGCTTGTGTCGGTCACATTCAAACCACTCCCATGACTGCTATAACAAAGTTTCATGCAAGTTTTCTACATCATTTTAAAGGTATTGATTTAAGCTAGCAAAAATCGAAAACAAATTGCAAAAATATTATTTCTGAAAAAAGTTTTAGTCATTTGAGTAGATCGAAATGCATATAGAACCTCAATCAGCATAGGTAAAAAATACAAAAGTTGAAAATTCCATACTTTTTTTCTCAAACTCAATGTATTTTCTAATTAGGATAGTATGTTATGACTTTTCAAATTCTTTTTTTTTGAGATTTTCAATAAAATTTACTATATGCTATATGCATTTCGATCTACTCAAATGACTAAAACTTTTTTCAGAAATAATATTTTTGCAATTTGTTTTCGATTTTTGCTAGCTTAAATCAATACCTTTAAAATGATGTAGAAAACTTGCATGAAACTTTGTTATAGCAGTCATGGGAGTGGTTTGAATGTGACCGACACAAGCTGAACTTTAACAAAATAGCCAAAATCAAGAATTTACCCATCAAAACTATTTAAAAATAATGTATTTTGACTCAAATATGTTCGATTATGAAATATCAATCAAAAAAACTCTGAAAAATAATCAAAAATTTGAGATTTTCAGACCCAATATTGTCTACTAGGGTCGTACCTTAGAAGCTACCTGAGATAGCAAAAACTTTGTGAAATGCAAATTTTTGAGTTTTAATAGTCATAACTATCATAGGTCATCATGAAAAACCACAACCAATACTTAAATTTGTTTCTAAGTGGTATTTCTAGAAATGACGTTTTTGAGATTTTTCTAGTTTAGGGTCGCTTACAAACAAGGCTCATATTCATGACCAAGATCAAAATCAACCATCAAGTATTATACATCATTAAAAAGGTATTGACTTAAGCTATAATAAACCGAAAACAAAACTGAAAAATATTTAGGTAAACAAAAGTTGTGGTAGTTTGAGTGATGAGAAAAGCATACAAGTCGTCAGATATCAAATGTACCCAATATCTTATCAAATTTTGAACTTTTTGAAAAAATTTCTTTACTGTTTGTTTTCTAACAGTATGTATGACTAGAAAACATGAAAAAACTTATTTGTATTCATTGATTTGCATTTTTTATAAGACATTTTAATTTTTGGCTAAATATTCAACGACTCACTAAAATCGCTGTAACTTTTTATTGGCCAGATATATTGGACAATGTTTATACAGTTCTGAAAACTACAAGTCAAGGGCTACATGCTGGTGTGATTGTACCCCCTACTACTCGGCGATCTAAGATACTTGCGGCACGTTTGAAGATATTTTTCCACTGTTTTTCTTACATATCCTACAATAGCGGTACCAAAACTACAAAGTTAAAATCTCTGTGGAATATCAAAATAAAGCTCTCATATACTACTATTAGGAACTGAAAACCGTTTTTTAATATCTTCAATAATCATTAGGAACTTTAGATTTAAAAATCCACCTGAGTTTGTAATTCGAAAAAGTCCCAAAATCAAAGTGAAAGTCCCTTTTTTTTCAATTTTGTCCCATAGTGCAATAATCGTATATTTTTCTATGTTATCGCTTATCGTACATAAAATGTGATGATGGCAATGTTTTGTGACTTACTGAAGATTTATTTTTTTTTTAAAAAAAGCTTTGAGAATTGAGTGGAATATTAAGGCAGTATTTGAATAAGTCATTGGATTTTATGGATTTACTGATAACGAGCATGAAAAAGCAAGCTTGAAGTTAAAAATGCTTTAAGCAGGGATTCACATTGAATGAACCCGAAAGGCAACAGAGGACCTTTAAGCGCTGCAGTTGCATCCTTAACCAAAAAATCAGCATGCAATAAAAAAGACATCTTTAAAATCGTCCCATATGAAGACGCGTTCTTGGTGCTGGAGGGCAATTCTTTGGATGAGTGGAATTTGAAAAAAATGAGCTTTCATAATCCAATGTCAATGAGTTTTGTGTCAATAAAATGTTTTCTTTAATTTCATGTTACTGTGAAGGCAAAATAAGCCAAAACTTTCGTAGATCATTAAGCATAATTAATTCTTTACAAGTGATCTATTGAAATGTTACAACTCAATAAAATTTTGATTTTTTGCTGAAAATTTTCCAAAAGTCATCCATAGAATATCTGTGGAGAGTAATCAAACTTCCATGACTTCAAAAATCCCTTTGCCTTAATAACAACAAGCTTCAACTTATCACAATCATAATCATCATCAAAGGTTCCAAATGCATACTTCATTTTTTCAAAAGATTCATTCAACTCAGCATGATTTCCTGCAATATATCCAATAGTCTTCAACGATTTCGGTGCTAGTGTCATTATTAGTTCCATCATACCCGAGCGGCACAAAGGCTCCATTTGTCTTCCATATGGAAGCTATACGGAGCCTCCACGTTCCACCCTCCATTTTAAAATCATCCGAAAACCTTACTATCTTGGAACCTTGACGGAGCCAAAGCTCCGAAAATCTTCCCTGGGACGTGCATTTATTAACACCAAATGGAAGTCATACGGAGGTTTTGATGGAGGATGGAGGATCCATTTGTGGTAGTCAAACGGAGGTTTAATGGAAGTTTTTTTCAAAGGATTTTTGGTACGATTTTCCACGTGTTTTTCTATGTTTCGCAATTTTTATATCAAGATTTTAAGCTGTATTAGTGGACTTAATTAAAGTACACTAACACCATTGAAAAATTTACAACTTAATTTAATTAAGTCGCAACCACAGCAATTTCTAAGTCTCGATCACACGCGTGAGAAACATAAGAAATTATTAAAAATTTTCATACAAATTAAACGACCCCATATAATAGTGATTTCTGCATGCGCTTGTGAAGTATGTAATTTCATACAAAATCACAAAAAATTATCCTTTTTTGCTTTTTTAAAGCTTGAAATGAAGCAATATGATTCAGTAAAGCTTTTCGACAATATTTCAATCCATTACAGTAAGATCTGACCTCTGTCTTTTAAAAATTCAAAAGCACGAGTTTTTCGGTATTTGATTTAAGAAAAAGCGGAGTTCATATGGAATCCAAATGGAATCAATATGAAGGATGAAAAAATAAGCCTCCATTTACTTTCCACATAGTGGAGGTGGCTTTCATATGGATTCCATATGGAGACCACCCTCCACCTTGTGCCGCTCGGGATATGGACATTGTCCATCCTTTTTTGAATATTATCGAGGTAGAGATGCTCAAGATTCGGCATTAATGGCATTAAATATTGCATTTTCAGCGGCATTGGTTTAAAAATCTGGCAGATCTTAATGTTCGGGTTTGGTCGAATTTTAGGCAATTTTGGTGCATTCAGCCACATGGTGTTTAATCCTAAAAATGTCAATTTCGGTAAGTCTTTAAGCAATGACACCAAAATGGAATCAGGAACTGGCGAATCGTACAAAACTGTTGTTAAGGAACCAGCTTGTGACTTTAGAAAGTTGATCATTACTTCTTCTTCGTGTGGCAGAATCGCTGCCTTTAAAAGGTATGAAAATGTATCAAGCTTGAATTTATATTTGGAATAATCTTCATCAATAATCTCCATGACAGCATTATCAGCATTAAAATCGTGAATGAATAATCTCTTCAAATCAGAATTCTTCCTAAGATAATCAATCATTATATCCACAAAACCTTTGTCCAAACAATCCTTTGCGATCCATTCTAGTTCCGGGATTTTTGTTAATTTTGATAAAATTCCATTCTTGTAGATTTTTTGAGATTCAACTAACAAACGCTTTACATTTGGAAGTTCCATGTCAAAATTTTCAATGTCATACGAAATCGACCCCGAAGAGCACAACACGGCAAATAAAATCACAGGTTGGTCGTACGACCGACGTTTACGTCAAATAAATACGGCACCGTAGCGGCACCACGAAAACTACCCTAACGCTGACCTTAAGACGGTACAAAAATGTAAATGCCGTGAAAAAACCTTGAAAATTATTTTGAACGGTTCACCGCAAAATAGAAATTTGCGGCGACTCAACGGCAACGTAGCGACTAATCATAAAATGCACCAAAAACACATTGTTTTAAGAAGTCTGATCGCGAATGTCGTCTTTTATCTTTCATTTAAGTTGTGGCACGTAAAGTATTAATTAAAGTGATTTTTTCTGGACATTATAACATTTCAAACGTAAATAACTCAGGGAAAGTACTTAATGTGAGTATTTTTGCTTAAATTCGCTTTAAAACATTAAATTTATTGAGTACCACCAGGACGCCGTAGATTTATGATTTACGGCAAATTTTTCTATGAAAATTCATTTTTTTATTTTACAGTCTGAGATTGTTAACTATTTCACAAATTGCAACAACTTTACAACATTCAGCTAACGATAGTGCAGAACGATAGTGCAGATAAATTTGTAAGTCAATCACTTATTATATTTTTTAGATTCTTACTAATTTCAACATATTCACAGCATTCCATGGTTAGGACGTTTCAAGTATAGAGCTGGATCTATAAAGTGTTGTCAACTAAGTCATAAATTATCACAAGAATTCGGAAAACCGTGAGCGAGACTTTATTCTAAGTAAGTCATTTTACATATTTTCGTAAAAACATACATTTTAAGTTGGGTTAGCATTTCAGAAAAAAATATCAAAATAAATAATTTTATTTCATTATATGAAAACATTAACAAAAGATAAACATAATTTGGAATGTGGAAGGTGGTCTAAAATATTGATATTTTTGGTCAACGGATCAAAATATTTTGAATTTAAGACTGATAACATCTCACTAATACAACCAAAACCCATGATTTAATCATGTATATTAGATGAATTTTAAGCTATTATCTATGTTTAAGAGCCTTAAGAGGCTGTATTAAGAGTAATTTCTTGTAATTTCCAATTTGAATTTTGGTTTTGTTTGTGAACAAACAAATCAAAACCGTGAAATTTAATTTTTTTGAAACAGTTAAAAAATATTAGACACATTTTTGTTAATTTTAGTGTATTTTCGCAGTAATTTATATAACTTTATATACCCAAAGAAAACAGCATAAAATTTTTGACCTGAACAATTAATTCTAAGGAAAAAGAGATTTGTTTTAAAGTACTTTATCTAATCTTGTGTTATTAATATAGAAAATAATTATTATTTCTGTGCATCAACACGAAAATAGTAAACAAACAGAAATTTAATATAATTTCAGTAAATTAAATCCAGTGCATATAAATAAAGATTTGTTTTTTTTCCAAATAGAAAACATCTTCCCAGTCAAAAAAATTTGTGAGTTATAGACATAAGAAATTAGTATAGTCATTAATCTATAGATTTAGCAAAAGTTTTGTAAAGAATGGGGAAAACAGATTTAGTTCATTTATCTAATAATTAATAATTAATTTTTAAACGACCAATGCTCATTGCAATGTACATTGCAATATCTTCACATTTCAACCGTTATCAACAGAATATTTTAAATACTGTTAATATTTTTACAATATTTAAATAATAATATTAGTACACTCATATTCCACTCTTAATAATAATTATAGAAGAGAATTTTTGGCTTACTATTAGCTTTGTAACAAGTGAAATTTGTAAATTGAAAAATTGATCGTATCTTCTTGTTATCAAATTATTTTTAGACCCCCTCCCCCCGTCCTACTAGTTGCTTAAAGTTTCTCTTCTCAGAACTTCAGTCTATCATTTTGTTACGGTAAACCATATTGAAATTTGTGTGTTTTTGCACTTGAAAATTTCATTTGCTTATAATTTTTTAATGTCTTACTTTTGTTGGAATTTTCATTTTTTAATACTTTTTGATAGGTATGCTTCCTATTGGAAGAGAAATTTGACATTTTTGGTCAAATGTTGAAATTTGTGCGTTTTTTGACAGCAAGGATTGACAAATTTTCAATTTTAAACTGTTAATTATTTATCATTTTTTGGAGCTTCAATCGTAATTCTTGTGAAGGAACACCATTAAATTAACTTCAAACCAAATTAAAATTAATCAACTGATTTGAATCAAATTTTTTACTTAATAAAATTTGCAACCTTCAAGATTTAAGCCAAAAAAATCGGCTTCGATCTCTGGAAAATTCTGAAACTTATACGAGTTATTAGCATTTATATAAGTAATGAGTGTGCAAAATTTGAAAGCTTTTCATAGAGTCGTTGCTGAGAAAAATGAAAAACATTAAAATTTTGCATACATAAAATGCGTTTTTTACATAAAGTGACTAAGGTGCGCGCAGTTCGTTTAGACGCACTTAATTTTTTTCAAATTTTCCTTTAATAAACACTATTAAGACAAAAACTATTTTATGTGTTTATAGCTATGACCAATTAGGTTATAAATATAATAAAAGTACCTGACTAAATGCTTTGCTTAAGTAATTAAAATAATTTTTTCAAAAATTACAACAACAAAGTGCGCAGTTCGTTTAGACGCACTTTGAAAAATCTAAAATTTTGTCTTATTTACGTTTCGTAGAAAACTTAATCGTTTCTAATATTAATCTATCAACAAAAACGAGTAATTACTGAGGGTTTTAGAATTTTCCATCAAGTTTTTCCAGAGATTTTCCTTCATTAAAGTTTTCATGTTGCAAAAATTTTGATAAATTATTTATCCAATAATTTTGCGTTAAATTATTATTCTTTTAACTGATTTCCATAGATAATTGTCCATAATATTAGAAAATTAACAGATATTTAAGCTTTCTTCTAAGTATAAGGCGAAAATATGTGAAAAATATAATTATGGTGAAAAATTTCCACCACTCTCATAGATTAATCAACAAATTTTGACAAAACTGTAGATACCATAATAAATTTGAATAGACCAGCTTATTTATCGTATTAAACTTAGTTAAAAACAGAAAACTGCACAGCTCTATGGCTAATGGAACTTGAAAATTTTACTGAAAAATTAAGTTGTGGTGAAAAAATTTCACCATAGAAAAATAAAATTTTAAAAAACGTTGTTTTCGGCAATTGTTTCATTTAAATTAGGTTGTAAAAGTGTTTCTGTCTCAAAATTAATCAATTTAAAACATGAATTAAAACCTTAGACATAGTTTTTTTAAAATTTTATTTTTCTATGGTGAATTTTTTCACCACAACTTAATTTTTCAGTAAAATTTTCAAGTTCCATTAGCCATAGAGCTGTGCAGTTTTCTGTTTTTAACTAAGTTTAATACGATAAATAAGCTGGTCTATTCAAATTTATTATGGTATCTACAGTTTTGTCAAAATTTGTTGATTAATCTATGAGAGTGGTGGAAATTTTTCACCATAATTATATTTTTCACATATTTTCGCCTTATACTTAGAAGAAAGCTTAAATATCTGTTAATTTTCTAATATTATGGACAATTATCTATGGAAATCAGTTAAAAGAATAATAATTTAACGCAAAATTATTGGATAAATAATTTATCAAAATTTTTGCAACATGAAAACTTTAATGAAGGAAAATCTCTGGAAAAACTTGATGGAAAATTCTAAAACCCTCAGTAATTACTCGTTTTTGTTGATAGATTAATATTAGAAACGATTAAGTTTTCTACGAAACGTAAATAAGACAAAATTTTAGATTTTTCAAAGTGCGTCTAAACGAACTGCGCACTTTGTTGTTGTAATTTTTGAAAAAATTATTTTAATTACTTAAGCAAAGCATTTAGTCAGGTACTTTTATTATATTTATAACCTAATTGGTCATAGCTATAAACACATAAAATAGTTTTTGTCTTAATAGTGTTTATTAAAGGAAAATTTGAAAAAAATTAAGTGCGTCTAAACGAACTGCGCGCACCTTATATTTCTTGCAAATTTTCAAAACTTTTCCAGTCATCATATTGGAAATTTGATAAGCTTTCCAAAAATATATAACTTTAATAGGTTTAATGAAAAAATTAGGGAGAAATTTGGAAAATATAAAAATTTCTAATTATGTGCCCACTCACTTTAATAGCAATTAATTTCATTCATTTAAACCTCTAAAAACATGAATTTAATACGTTAATAATTATTGTTGTTGACAAAATTTCTCAGTGCCATCTACGATCAACAGCGCACAAATTTCAACATTCAAAAACAAGATATTTTAAAATTAATTTTTAAAGCACTTCCATAAAATGGAATACATGGCATTTTTAGGCTAATTTCTTTTTTTTGGTGAGCATACAAATTTCAACATGGTCTATCCTATTGATTTGTTGATATTTTTTTTTGATTTTTTGTGTTTTTCATTCTTATATTGTATGATGATTTTTGTAGGGATTCGTCCATGAACGCTACTGATAAATTTCTTATCCCTTATTATTGATATGACACAGATAGTTGGAATGGGCAGAAAAAAGAAATCAATATCAACAGTAACATATAAAAATTTCAAAAAAAGATATTTTTTAAAAAGAAAATTTGATAATATCGATAATATCACAATAGTTGATCATGAAAATTCCATAGAAAGTGAACCAGATGAGTTCGTATTAAATGAAACTAGTGACAAAAAACCTCAAGATGAAAATGATCAGTCACTTAATTTGAATTATTGCTATGATGAACAGTCTATGTGTGATCACGACCAATCAATTGAAACAAATGAAAATAGTAACTTAATTAATTTTGATCACATGATAATGGATAATAATCATTTTGAATTTGAACAAGACAATACGAATAACGCCCATAATCAGTTATCAGACTTACAAGAAAATGAATTGTATACTTTTGACCCACCAACAGTCAAAAGATTGAGTAAAATTGAGGATATTGTGACCACTAAACACATAGCTCAAGGATTACAAAAAATTGCAGTTCATAAAAATATAGAAAGAAACACTCTCTCAGATATTTTAAAACTCCTTAATCCAATATTTCCTAAGCTTCCCGTTGACTACAGATCGTTACTTTTAACGCCTAGAACAACAGATTTGACAATAGTTTTACCCGGTAGATACGTTCATATTGGATTGAAGTTTGGACTTGAAGGCACATTACGGAATCGAAATTTTACAAGCCCACAAATAGAACTTAATGTTTTTGTAGATGGAGTAAATTTTTTTACCGATTCTAAAGAAAAATGCTTCTGGACAGTTTTAGCAGACATAAATTCAGTACAAAATTCAATAATCCCAGTTGGTTTATATCATGGGGAGTCTAAACCTGAAAACTTTGACGATCTTTTAAGGCCATTCGTAGAGGAGGCACAGTTTTTAATCGAATTCGGAGTCGAAATAGATGGCATAAAAAGGAAAATTAGCATTAAAAACTTTTTATTAGATGCTCCAGCGAGATCAGCAGTTTGTGGTACAAAAGCACATAATGCTTATGAGTCATGTCCCAAATGTTTATGTAAAGGTAGTTTTGAAAATAGAAGAATGATTTTTGAACATACAGATTCTCTTAAGAGATCAGATGAAAGTTTTTCTAATAGAGATCAACCTGATTTTCACCATAGAAGTACAATTGTTGAAGAAAAGTTACATCTGAAAATGATAAGCCAGTTCCCTTTAGACTTTCTCCATGTTGTCCTTCATGGATGTGTAAAAAGATTATTAAATTCATTGCTAGGAAATAAAAAACCTAAGTTTCCACATTCACGTGAGAAAATATCTAAAATTCTTAAACTCATTGAAACCACTACACCTAGCGAAATTCATAGACCATGTCGAGATATACATGATATTTTGAGCTATAAAGGACATGAATTGAGAGTTTTTCTATTAAAAATAGCACCACTTGTTCTAAAAAATAGTATTCCACTGGATTATTATCAACACTTTATGTTACTAACATGCTCCTTTACGATTCTTTGTGATCCAGATTTTTGTATTAAACTTAATAGAACTGCACACAACATGCTTATTGCATTTATAGAGAACATTAATATTTTATACGAAGAAAGATTGTGTGTCCCGATGGTTCACCAAACTATGCATATGGCTGACGAAGTCCTTACTCAAAATGCTCCTTGTGACAATTTTTGTACTTGGAGATTCGAAAGTTATTTAACTCCGTTAAAAGATTTTATTCACTCAAAAAATAAGCCACTTTCCCAAATTTATAAAAGAGTTTATGAATTTTTCGCATGCCCAATTGATGACAAAAAAAAAGTAGACAAATCAGGAACTAATTTCGTCTACTTTCAAAATGTTAGAATAGATTCAAAATCTTGTAAGGACCGCTTTTTTCTTACAAAGGAAAAAAGAGTAATAGTCATTTTAAAAATCATTTCATGTATAAATTACAAATTCATTTGTAGAGAAATCAAAATTTTAGACGATTTCTTCAAAATTCCAATTAATGCTACAAAACTTAATTATTTTTTTTGTTCTCCTACATATGTATCTCAAAAATATACCATTAATATTAAAGAAATAGAACGTAAGCTGTTTTATATGCCTTTTGAAGATAATATGTTTTTTGCACCACTAAAAAAATTTGAATAAAGATGTACAAAATGTTAAAGGATTATGAATAAAGTTTTAATTTTTTTAATTTCGGATTTTAAATAGGATCATTTTGTAATGCATAATGAAGGATATCATGTTGTGAAAAACAATATTAACGCTTACTATATAGTTTGCTGCAAATGGATGGCAAAATTTAAAGATGATCCAAACAGTTTTACATATTATCCACCATCTGCTACACATTATCAAAGTCTAAAGAAACAAGTTGAAGCAGCTCCTGATTGGGATTTCGAACAAGTGAAAATAATGCTCGCTAATGTTCAAAGTAAGTCTTAATTCAGTTAACAGTTTTTATTAACTTCTTGCGTGTTTCATGTGATAATTAACAAACTATGATAGAAAAAAAAATTGTTTAAAATTCCATTCATAACTTAACAAATTAATATTCTTTATTTCTTTCTAATATCTAGACTTGGCTGAAGCAAATAGATATATTACAGTACATACAAAGCACATTGATTCAGAGGCGTCTGAGAATGAGGAAAGAATGAAATCGTATAAGAGAAAGCATCCAGTTGCTGGCATCTTGAATTTGGATTTCAATAATATGATAACTCAAGAAGTATGTTATGTAAATTTTTCTTCAATTCTATTTGAAATACCGATGTTTTCTTTTTCTTAGTTCAATTTAAGTCACAACAAAAAGTTGAAAACGCTTGCTCCAATTCACGAAGAAGGTAGCATGGAAAGCGACGACGAGGGAAACAGTGCCATGATCAAAGACTCTAAGACTACAAAAGAATCAGTAAGCTATAATTATTCATTTAATGAAGACAACAGTAGCAAAAGCAATCACGTGGAAATAGAACAACTTCAAGACGTTCAAATTGAGCAGGTATAAATTTTATAAAATTTGACCCTTAAAAAAAACCAAATAATATTTTGACTGAAAATTATGCAGAGTTACATAATTGTATTTACAAACATTTCTTTTTAATGTTTTTTTTAGATGGTAAATTTACAAGAATTTATGGAGCTTAAGAATGATATACGTCAGATAAAGGAAAATCAAGCTTTAATGATGGAAAGGCAGAATTCCTTTTTTTTATCTGTGAAAAGTGATTTCCAGTTTTTGACCGAAAAAGTTGCACGCATTGCTAGTGGATCAGTGACTGTTGAAAATTCACCTAGGCCGAAACCAATCACTAATAAAAATGAACTAATCAAAATGGAAAGCAATATGATTACAATGACAGAAGAATTTTTCATTGAATATCAAAAGATTGTGAGTATGACTTCTTTTATTTGAATTTGAAAACTGATTACCTATATTTTTATGCAGAAATCAATTTGCCTTATTATTATTAAACTTGATGTATATCTTCCTCTGAGTTCTTAATATTTCTTATAATATGTTTTAGGTGGCATGGTTCGCTATTAACATTTCCAAGCCAAATAATGGTTTTGGAAAACAAAATGGGCTTGTTGCTGGTCTGTTAAAAGTTTATTTCGACGCTGAATTTGTAAGAAAAATTGGTTGGACCAGCATTAAAGGTAAATTTACAAATAAAGTGATTAGTCAGTTACTAATTTTTGTTTATAGGCAGGATTCCGTTTGAAGACTACAAAGGGCATCATAAATTTGCACTTGATGTTTGCAACAAAAATACACCGGGGTTATTCAGTAACGTAGATGAGTCTGGAGAGGCATGCCATGAATTTTTCAAGCGTTTGCACGAGACTAAGAGGCCTGGGAAGAAAGGTACATCAGCAGTAATGGAAGAAGTCGAAGTTAATTCTTAAATAAATCGTTTCCTTATCCATATTTCTCTATTTTCGTTTTGAAAGACCTTTAAACTTATTTCCTGAATAAAAATAAATTACAATTGTTATAACTACTTAAATATTGGTATTTTATGAAACATTTTTTTTTCAGTCCTGAAACCGCCGTATGTGGTTTTAAATAATAACCGTGAAGTCAACGTTAAAGCGCCGCAATATTATTTTAAAACGCCGTCGTCTCATATAATTTTTTTGCCGTGATGTTGCCGTCTGGGTTGTTCTACGTTGTCAAAATTACTTACAAGCGGTGGCGTGACGTCGACAAAAATGGGGCGAAAAGAGGTTCTACGTAGCCTTTACGGTGGTACAGCGGCAAATTTACGCTTTTGCATTGACTTCACGGCAACGTAGTGTAGTTTTTTGACGGTTTTAAATACGGCTTGACATAAATTTGTTGCCTTCACGGTGCCATAACGTCCACCATGTGCTATTCGGGGACAGGTCCTTAATATTTGGAAAGTGCTTTAAAAACCCCACATAATGTTCCGGATTGCAAGAAAACACGATAGTCTGAAAGTCACGCTTGCTTTTAAGTGCTTTAGCTACATCTGAATTGGAAAACTTGTAGATTTTTAATTTGATCTTTTCCATGCAGACTTTCGAGTGTCCAATAGCTTCGTACCAAACTTTGTTGACCAAAGATGCTTTGAGAATTGTGTCTGCGCTGAATTCCTTGATAATTTTATCAACGATCAGTTGTGGGAAGATTTTGAATGGATCTGTTGATGGCTCATATTCAACTGGATGTGCTTGATCACTTGAATCGTTGACTTTCAAATCAGCAAAACTTTCTCGAATTTCTGATTCTGATGCTTCTACACTATTTTTCTAGAAAGGAAACAGTTAGACAGCTTCTAGGACTATTTAATAGCACTAATCTTACCTTTCCATTGACTGAATCAGCTGATGTGACAGTTGTATCTGCATTTTTCTCGACTCGATTCATGTTTATGGCTACTGGATCTACTTTAATAAATACTAGAGGTGAGTAACTGATGATTCAATAACTCAATATGCTGTCTAGAACTTCCTTAAATGCAATATCTTAAAATAACATAAATCTAATCTACTTACATGTAATCTGAATGAAATTTGTTCTTAAATCATGAACACTTAATGAAATAATCTAAAATTGTAGAATAACTTAGGGGCCGTTCACTTATTACGTTACGCAAAAAAACGACTTTCCGTTACAAAAGATTTAAAGCAGTAAATGCGTGGAAATTCAGTAAAGAATTAATCTTGACTTTTCATATTGAAAACTGTTAAGAAAAGTGTCCCAGTAAGCTTTGAAAAAAATTTTTTGCATTCAACAATTTTCATTGGAAGAGTGTGCATCGAAAAATTTTCAACAAATTTTCTTCAACGAAAATTAATCAGCAGCAAGTTTCAAGATTTAAGGAACAACATTCTATCAAGGAATTTTCGTCAACATTTTATAAAGCAGAAGCGAAACATTTTCGTTAACTGATTCAGCATAATGAAGACAAGTCTTCAAAACTGTGATCAAATGATCATTTGTGTTGAAGTAAGTGATCTGAATTTATTTTATTTTGCAACAAACTTGCACTCTGTTCTTTTTTTCTGTGAATTATTTTTGCCAATTCAGTGGTAATTTTTCATCTTCATCTCCTTGTTAATGTCTTATTGACCTGACTTTCAAAAAGCTTTTTATTTTATTCCTTAATATCTGGATATCAAATAGACTTTAACGTAGACTTGTGGCTGACCTCGTTTTTTGAATTCGCGTGTTTACGTCCTTCAGTGCGTTTCCATCTGCTGAATTATTGCTTTCAAGATTTGTGAAGTATTTGATCTCAAAGTTGGTTTCACTTCCAATTTGTAATGAACATTAAAATAAGTTTCTTTCTAAGGGTTTGATACAGGCACCTGTGCACGGATAGGAACCATACAATTCCTTGTTAAGTTGTAAGGTTTTAGTAGAATTTGTATTTAACAAGATGAGCCACAAGTCATTCCTTAATAAAATTCAAAACTTGTGAATCAGAGGCATTGCTTTAAGGGTAATTCCATGAGAAATTTTTGTAAAAAATTTACTTAAAATTGATTTTTTTCATATTTAGGCTTTACAAAAGTTAATAAGATTTTCACAGTGCATGTAAAAAGTCATATGGTATATGATTTGACATTAATTTTCTATCTAAAGTGGTTAATTCGTCCAAAAAATTGATTCCATGAGCGTTACTTGGTAACGCTATAAATGTTACCAAGTAACGCTATAAAATATAATTTTTTGGACGAATTAACCACTTTAGATAGAAAATTAATGTCAAATCATATACCATATGACTTTTTACATGTCCTGTGGAAATCTTATTAACTTTTGTAAAGCCTAAGGATGAAAAAAATCAATTTAAAGAAAATTTTATAGCAAAATTATAGCATGGAATTACCCTTAAAGCTCATTTCTCATTACCTGATGAATCGCTTCCAGTTTGACATAATTTCACATGCCAAAGGTATTACAGGTCTCATACTGAATGGCGTAATACAAGGCAGCAATCTAGGTCCATTGCTCTTTAATAAGATGCTCTATGATCTAAAATTTGTACATTTTGATGTTCAAAACTTCCTCTCTCCTCAAATCTTTTGTGCTTTAATCTTGCTTCCTTAATTTCTTCAAACTTAAATTAACTTTATAATCCCACTTAAAATGTTTAATTATTATTATTATTATTATTTTTATTATATTCGTATCTCATTATTACTCCTTTTAGACCATGAATTGAACATTTCAAGACGATTTCATGCGTGGTTTACCTCTTGGACTATGTCAAGACGAGTATCGCACTTGTCAGCAGTTCTGTTATTTAATTGTAAGTTATTAAAATCTTCATTTCTTTTTCAACTCTCCTGCTCTCTCTAAAATGTCATACTTGTAGCCAATAAGTCACAAGATTCATTCTTTAAAACTTTTAACCTTCATTGTCTTAGACTAAAAAATTAACTTCCGTTCGATATATTTAAAATTTCCTTTATATTTTACAAACTTTATTTACTTTTATACCATTTACATTGTGAATATGCATTAAGCTTCAATCACCAATGGTTCAAGGGAATATCCAATGCATTAAATTTTTGAATGCAACGTTCTTGTTCAGTGTAAAGCTCAATAGTTATTTTATAAAGTAATTAGGTCATAATTGAGTTAAATTAGCGTCTTCCTGTTTATAATAATCCTCGTCTTTGAAAGCATTTTAATTGTTTTGAAGCTTTGTCTAACCTTGTTTGCGACGTTCTTAAAAGTTAAAAGAACTTAAAAGTTTTTGTCAGATCAATTGTTAAAAAATGTCATTTTCATCACAAATTGTTTAAATTTTGGAACCTTTTGTGTTTCCACTGAAGTCATTACTTTGTCATAAATTTATTCACATGCCTTTCCATAGTTTGTCAATGTTGCGTTTTTCGATCATGATTCCTTTCTGTGCTTTTCAAGTTTTTCGTGTATTTCTATCAATAAGGAAGTCTAGTCATTGTTGCCTTCGCAGCAATTAAAATAAATTTTAACCCATTTTCGGACTTTAATATGAACCAACATTCGTTTTGGTTCCATTAGTTGAGTGTTATGTACTCTTGACTTTATATATATGTGATTAAATTCTTGGATTGAGCAATATTCTTCATCTTGACTAGTCCGTAACCGCTTTTTAATGTTCTATATGATTTTTATTATTATTTGCGACTGACTTGAATTCTGATTCGAGGATTATTGGCTACATGTCTTTCATTTTAAACCCACCATCTGTTCTGTATAATCATGTGCTTTTCCTCTTTAATTTGGATTAGAGATATTTTTGCTATCACATAAAACTTAAAAATTATTATTTTTATTTATTTTTTAGGATTCTGCTAGTCCTGTGCTTGGAATTAAGTTGATCAACTTGCTGAAAGTGTTCGAGAATAGTCCTCGTGAAGTCAAAAATGATTTGCTGACATTCTTTCACGTTTGGTCTAAATATGATGGTCTTGTGAATGCTCGCGAGAAACTCAACGAGTGTCTTACATTGCTGCCAACATTAAAGATTCGGATGAATGCTTTTTGGGATTCAGTAAATGAAAAGGTAAGGAATTAATTTACTTATAAAGTTTCGTAATTTTGGTTTTCTCCTTTCGTCCGATTTGTTTATAAAAACTTTCATCTTTCTTTCTTGCTTTCTGTCATTCTGCTCTAAGCCCCACCTCCTTTCATACAAATTTTTGTGGAATTTGATACAAGTTTCACTTTTAACTGTCATTGTTTCCCATTCATACATTCTTCCTTAAAATGTAAAAATGTCTTGTTTAGATTTCCCATAAGTGGATGTCAGTTGCATTTAAACCACACTTGCATTTTTAAAATCTAAATTTGAATACCTTAATTTTTGTCAAACCGTTCATTTTAATTGTATGTCATGTATCGGAGAATTTGTCTTACATTTCCAACGCTGTTTTTGTCCAATTGCTCAGCACTAACCATGTCTCTTTATTTTTATTTTTTAGTATATCATTTCGTGTATTCCGAACGATCATCCAGTCAGTGATGAAAATATCGTCATTGAAATTCAAGACTGCGACATTATTATCGATCATCCAGTCAGTGATGAAGCTTTAGTCATTAAAGTCGAAGTTCATGACTGTGATATCATTGTCGATGATTCTCCAAGCGTTTTTGACATAGTCACTGAAGTCAAACTTAAAGTCGAGGAGAAAGTCAGAAGGACTTATCAGCAATCGGAAGCAGATACAATCGAGAGCATTGGAATGGATGAACATCGACCAATGGAAGAAGCTCCAAACAAAAAGAAAGAGAAGCATTTCTTGAAAAGGTCAGTGAAATCTTTTCGCAAATGGGCAACTCGGCTTGTTTCATGTTTGAAAGTTTGCCACTAATTTGATGGGAGGGTGTCGACCGATTATTTTAAAGTAAGGGAGGGGGTATAGAAATTTTCAATCTGTAAGGGGATCTTTTTTTGTAAGGGGAGGCATCTAGTCGATTGTTTTAATGTAGAGGGGGGACTTGCTTTGTAATTACTAAGGGGTAGCGACTAGATGAGTTTTTTTAATGTTCTTTGGGATCCTGGGAGGTTTTTTTATTGTTACCTGGACTGAATAATTTCAATGGCGCGTTCGAGTTTTTGCTTTTAATTTTTTTCTCGAACGAGGCTTATCCTCTTTAAAAAGGTTTTTTTTTTAACTTTTTTGGAATAACTTAAGAGGGGGTTGAGGGTGGGCTGTCCAAAAAAAAACTCATTCTTGTCAATCTGTCCGTCTGTTCTTTGCTGCTACTAATCTTTCTTTTTCAGCTTAAATTACTTTACTTTGTATTTCGTGAATATTTCCAACTCATTCACAACAAATACTTCCGGGCCGCTGAAAGTCATAATAAAATCTTTGCTCAATAAATCCTGAACGTGAGCCCACCATTCATGACTCCAAGCCATGCCGTACGGTGTTACAGCTTGTTCTTGTTGGTTTGGAGGGGACGTAAAGGCCAGTGGTATTGAAATTTGTTGACTAACGGCGGCATTGATCTTTATAGAGGCGCTTCCAGATGGGTCGCACACCCTTAATGATAGATGCATCACGGCATATAATGTAACCCGGTGATGTGTTTAACTAGCAGTTTTTGTCATAGTTGATAAAACTTGGCTATCCTGCTAGTTGCAACTAAGTCGTCTAACGAAAGTTGTTTGATTTAAGAAGGAGCGTATCGCTGAGGAATTCGACCAAAAATTGATCATTAACCAGGGACTCGTTCTGTTGACCTTCGCGAGGTAAGTCCTGTGATCTTTTCTATTTCGGTAGAAAAGAGGCCGACAAACAGAAGTTGTGAATTGAATTGGATTATTTTGGATTTCAAAGTGTTTGAGTTTCAACTTTAATGACTCGAATTTTTTCGTCTGTCAATTTTTGGCCAGGGGTTGACACGATTTCATCTTGATGAAAAATTTCTTAATCCTATTGTTAAAATGAAATTTTTGTATAAAAAGATGAAAAATGATGAAGAAAGATGAAAAACGATGAATTTTTTTTGTATGAAATGATGAAAATGATAAAATTTTCGGGTGAGCTCGGTTTGTATAAAAAAAATCTCGAAAAAGCAAATTCTTTCATTTTTAAGGTGAAAAATCTTTCGGAAAAATAAATGTTTGAATTAATTTTTTTATTTAAAGTGAAAAAACCCCAAAGAAAAGCATGTTTTTCGTCTTGATTTCCTTACATGAGATGAAAAAACCATCGAAAAAGTCATTTTTCGACTAGATTTTCTTAGATGAGATGAAAAAACCCTTGGAAAAGTCATTTTTCGACTAGATTTCCTTACATGAGGTGAGAAAAGTCATTTTTCGACTAGATTTCCTTACATGCGATGAGAAAACCCTTGCAAAAGTCATTTTTCGACTAGATTTTCTTAGATGAGATGAGAAAACCCTTGCAAAAGTCATTTTTCGACTAGATTTTCTTACACGAGATGAGAAAACCCTTGAAAAAGTCATTTTTCGACTAGATTTCCTTACATGAGATGAGAAAACCCTTGCAAAAGTCATTTTTCGACTAGATTTTCTTACATGAGGTGAGAAAAGTCATTATTCGACTAGATTTCCTTACATGAGATGAAAAAACCCTTGGAAAAATCATTTTTCGACTAGATTTCCTTACATGAGATGAAAAAACCCTTGGAAAAGTCATTTTCGACTAGATTTCCTTACATGAGATGAGAAAACCCTTGGAAAAGTCATTTTTCGATTAGATTTCCTTACATGAGATGAGAAAACCCTTGGAAAAGTCATTTTCGACTAGATTTCCTTACATGAGATGAGAAAACCCTTGGAAAAGTCATTTTCGGCAAGATTTCCTTACATAAGATGAAAAAACCCTTGGAAAAGTCATTTTTCGACTAGATTTTCTTACATGAGATGGAAAAAACCCTTGGAAAAGTCATTTTTCGACTAGATTTCCTTACATGAGATGAGAAAACCCTTGGAAAAGTCATTTTTCGTCTCGATTTCCTTACATGAGATGAGAAAAGTCATTTTTCGACTAGATTTTCTTAGATGAGATGAGAAAACCCTTGCAAAAGTCATTTTTCGACTAGATTTTCTTGGTTGTGATGTGAAAAGCGATTTTTCATAAATATTTTTGTAAAAATGATTTTTTAAGGTAATTTGTATGAAATTATATACTTCACAAACCAAATAAAACGTGAAATTCTCAAAGATGAAAATGATGAAGGAAGATGAATTTTTTGTATGAATTGAAGAAAAAAGATGAAGAAAGATGAAAATTGAAATTTTTTGTATGGAAAGATGAAAAAAGATGAAAAGATGAAATCGTGTCAACCCCTGGATTTTTGGAATTCGACTTTTTCATGTTCCGATTTTAACTTATAATTCATAGTTGTGTCTCATCTATGACAAAACTAAAATCGAACGCTTCCTTTATCATTAACCAAGCTCTGTAGACTCCGAGTCGACTCGACTCCGCACAAAATTTCATCTACTTCCAGCTTTGATGATTACAATTGTCAGGCATCGAATTAACTTGATTCTCAAAAACACAATGAAAGCAACAAAAAAATCATTAAAACATTTCTGGGGCCGTTCACTTATTACGTTACGCAAAAAAACGACTTTTTTCAACCCCCCACCCCCCCTCCCCCCCCCCCCTTCCCCTTGTTACAATATGTTACAACTCACAACCCCCCCCCCGCATTTTGAAAACTTGTTTTCGAAAAGGAAGCTTAATAATGCACTTTGTTCGTTCGTTCGTTTGCTCGACTGGGTAAGCATAAAAACTTTTTAACCAGACATCGTAGAGAGCTCAGGGTTGTTTTATTAGCTCCGTTACTATTGTTTATTGTCCGATCGAACAGTTAAAAGTCTTGAAACAGTATATTTATGCTATAATTAATGAATTTTTGTTTTGTTTTTAGTGTAACCTGCTCAAATTTTATTTTACCTCTATAATTTCAACATTACCTCTATAATTTCAAATTTTTTCTAGCCGTTGTAAAATTTCAAATTTTAAAAAACTTTTAAATGATAAACCCTTTCTGTATGGAAATTCATTGCAACGAATTATTAATTATACTACAATTAATGTTTTTGTTGTGCAATTTTTGGCGGGAAAACTTCAAATTATTTATTAAGCATTAGAAAATTTGAATTCCAAAAAACCGTTAAATGATAAAACCTTTCTGTATGGAAATTCATTGCAACAAATTATTAATTATAGTATAGTTATTGTTTTTGAAGTGCAACTTTTAGCGGAAAAATTTCAAATTATTTTTTGACCGTTAAATAATAAAGCCTTTCTATATAAGCATTCATTGTAATTATTTGCTAATTGCACTAAAATTAAAGATCTTCTAATCTTCTAATGATCTGTAAATGAACGCAAAATAAATATATAATCAAGTACTGATCGCTTCGTCAAAAATGCGCTGAAGTCCCTCGATCAATAACACGAGGACTTTTGTAATTTTTTTAATGAACTTTAGTGAACTTTAGAACGTTACATACTTCTTGACACCCCCCCCCCCCCCCCTAAAATGCGAACGTAATAAGTGAATAATGAAATCACAGAATTAATGAAATACTGAATTACAGGTTGTTTACAGAATTAAACGAACTTTCGTAATTCAAATTATTTCTAAGGTGATATAAAGATCCGTTGAATTAATGGTTATTGAAGTTTAATTAAATTGCTATTTTAATTGTAAAACGCATAAATATATATCGGAAGAGCATCGTGTGTACATTCACCAATTCAATTTAAATAAAATTAGATACGTCAAAAATTAACACTAATGCTGAAAATCCAAAAACAAATCTACAAAAATCCATTAAGCTACATGTCAAAAGGTTGATTAATGGGACTTAAAATTTCAATGAATTTTACTGAGACATTCCTGAACTTCATTGCCATTCATCAAATCATTCTCAAACTCATTGAGATCTGTTTTTATAACCCTTTGATCCATCACACTGAAAATACATAAAAATTCATTTCCATCCTACACGAAAAATAAATTTCCCTTTAAATATTACACGACATTAAGACGAAATAAAACTTTTTTATTTTCTTGTTAGTAACATTGATTAAATTCCATCCATGAGACCTATTCCAAGTCATTTTGAATTATGAATAGATTAAAATGATAGTGACATATGTTTTGAAATTCCGATTAACACTTCTATACGGCACAAATTGAGTCTTTAGACATTAATTTTGTTTGTTTTTATATTTTTCAACTCGTCTTGTTTTGTTTCTTACACGAGCATCTCATATATATATGTAGTCTATTTTTGAACAAATCACATTCGATTTCCTTTTTTTCTTGAACGATTTTTCTTGCGTGCTTGAATTTTTGGCGAGATGCTTAACATGATCATGCAGTTTGGGACAAAGTCCATGCATTTAAGAAAATGTGAAGTGAACGACCTCTAAAATTTTGAATTCTATCGAAATTGTGTGGTTTTGAATCAGGACAGAAAAGAAATTGTAAGGTTTTGAAACCACAATAAGAATTTGTAAGGTCAGTTTTCTCCCAACCTCCGAATGAGGAGGTTGTGGAATTGTGCAATACTTCAAAATTAATTAATTACGCGTAGGAATAAGTCACAAACCTACGGGAACTGTCTTTAAATTAACAAAGAACAAAGATACCAAGGAGAAAACTCAGCAAAGTCGCGATTTAATTAAATTTTGGATATAAATTGAAATTGGAAAAAAAATGTGCAAATCTTGCACATAATCTAGATAAATCACGATCGGCGGCAGTTGTGAGGAGAATCATCTGTTTCACGTGGGTTTTTTGTGTTTTACC